AGGCAGTGATCATGGTGAGGTTCAGAGACGAAACCCCTGGAACATTATGCAATTGGTCAATTTCATATGCTACATCAGGCCTACGTGAATTCAATATGCTTGATCTATAATTTAATGTATTTAATATGGGGCATATAATAAATGTATACTGTAGATTGATGTATTATAATACATTTAGGATAATAATGTATGTAAAACATCATTGAACATAACAATGGTATGATTTCTCAAAAAAAAAAATGATAGCCTATGAAATGAATATAATCAATACCAATTATAAATATTACCATGTTATTAACAAAAAATAGTAAGCCTACTAATTATGCGACACCACCCACTATATGGATATAAATATGCAATCATGTCAATCACATAAAGCACATGTTAATATAGAATAATTCACCAGTTTTTATTATGACCAATAAAACGTTTCACAAAATGAGTTTCTCTTTTTGCTTCAATGCTGAACACGTTTAGATCGCTTGTCCTTTTATCATTTATGGTAGGACGATGTGTGTGTTTTCAGCCTTACCGAGAACTATGCTCACACCAAACACTAACATGGATTTTAAAAGCTACGGTATTAGACAGCAGAAGCAATATAATTGATGGACTATTTCCTTGAATGACTTTAAAAACATTTCTGACATTATATGTGATGACAAAATAATTATATATAATAATAATTGCATCATTATACTTATGTCTAAATGGTCGGTTAGGTCGATTACATCATAGATCAAATAAAGTTAATAGTACTGTATAATCGGTCTAATCCATTTTATGAATGCTTGACTTTATACTTTCAATAATTTTTATCATTCATTCATGCGTTCGTTCGTTCGTTCATTCATCCCTGTATTAAATAAAAGGTTTAATTGCATGCAACCTTTACAGATTGAAATATAAAAAAGAAAACAACAGCAAATAGACCTTTCCGCTAAGCCCTGCCCCTTGGATATTGTTGCTAAGGTCCCACAAAGCGACAGTGTTAAAACATACGCGAACACGTGCGTTTGTGGCACAGCACGTGGGTTTGTGAGACGCGCGCGTATTCCTAGCGCTGTTTTGATTGGTCAGTTGTTAAGTTTGATTGACACTCCGGAAAGGTATATTGAAACCAATGAAAGCTTCAATGAGCAAAACAAAACACCAGTAAACAATAATAATTCTAAAAGATATAAAAACTTCTCGAAATACTTCTAAATTAAACAAAGATATTTATCATAAGAACATTTATAATTCAATGACCTGCTTTTATTTAGGTAGCAATATTAATAAATCATGAAACTCAAGTATTCATGATTACCTTAACACACAAATCATATATTATCATTTGAAACATATTGATTTTTTACCAGGGGACAATGCCAAACAAAAATAGCATAAATAGACCCTTGGGCTCGATTGGAAATATGATTGCATATAATATATAATTTCGCGTCACTATTTCATACAATTATGCCATACAGATAGTCGGTCATTATCTAGACGCTAATCACAGAGTAGTCTTATACAGTGGCGTATATAGAGGTCTTGAAGTGGGATTGCTGATGGGTGGGGTGGGGTGGGGTGGGGGGCGAAGGTAAAGCGGAGGGGCTCGATGATCAGTTGAGGGGAGCTTACTCGAAATATAAGGTGATTTTAGGTGATTTTTTTACTGCTTGACCGTGATTTCCCGCATCCCTAGACACGTCACTGGTCTTATACATATCCATTAAATTAGATATTCGAAAGCTTTACAGCAAAATTACGATTATAATACAAATACAGTACGATTATGTAATAATAATAGGTCGTGATTATTCTACTCAACCCATGCCTCAGATATTTTTTAGCCAAAGAAATACTTTCATTTCGATTACCCCGCTGAAATATTCACGCGAAATTAATTAATTTAAGCTCGCCGTGTTTCTACTAAGTGCTCAAAAATAACGTATTGTTATATTAAGTTAGCATAGCCATATACCATGTTTGCCACATTATTCCTCTATGATGAATTCGTTAAAAGTTTCCAAGGGTACTAATAAATATTGTATGTGTACAAACAATTATGTTTTTAATGAAAATTATCATACTGATATGACATTTAATTTTTGGAATATTTGTGGAAGCAGAACGTTCACTTTGAATGTATTTACGTCACAGTAAAGACCATGGTAACGTCAAATTGTGCAAGTGTACTTCATAGACTAGTCATCGTTCGCCAGCGTCTACAAATCCATCATTACCGTTACCATAGCTTCGAATTGAACTTAATTTGAGGATCAAGTCGTTTCCATTCAAGATAGGCCTACACTGTCTGTAGTCAAAAATCCTCAAACATTAAATTGAAATATATTAAATTGCTTATACAAACGAATCAAATAATGTATCAACTCGAATGAGACAGAAATCGAGCAATTTACTTGTTACTGATTTACAGCCATATTGCCAACAAAAATCCTTTTAGCCAGCCAATTAAAGGGTATAGACAAAGCATAGTGATACTTACGAATCCGTTAATTGTCAAGGAAACCATTTTCTTGACTATTTTTTTTTATTGAAATGTATTACGGTAAGTATATTTTACTAGGTCATGGCTTTTTCCTTTCTCTACATTTATTATTTTCTTGATTGTATTATTACCTTACTTTTTATGTAATGAGACCATCAAAATAAAAAATATGCAGAATAAGACAAATTTGCATATACGTGTAGTATAATCGTAATCAATCACAAGGTTAATTTTCTTTCGCCATCATTATACAAATATTATGATATAACCTTGAGTTTACGAGCATCTCTTAAAAAATGCAAATTAATATAGTATGTTTAACAACCTTTGATACATTTATTAGCGGGGTTAGTTGATTGAGTGCAGTTGTATATTGGTATAGGTCTTGCCTTCCAATGGACCTGCCTCTTGGTTATTGCTGTTAAGGTCTACAAAACGACAGCGTAACCATGCATAGACGTATGTCTGTGGGACATGCGCGTATAGGTCTAAATGAGACTTTTTCATTGGTGAGTTGTTAAGTTTGATTGACACCCAGGAAGGTATATTATGGTTCTCAAAAAACGTCAGGAAAAGCTATAAAGCTTTATAGTTAGACGTCGGCCGACGCGATTCTATGGATAACGCAACGCCACGATGCTCGAAACAGTCGTTTTTAATGATAACTTGTTCAGACTATCACCGACAATCCAGTGGCGTGTCCAGGGGAGGGCGCGGGAGCGCACGCCCCCCCCCAAAAAAAAAT